ATACAAGTATATACGACGGAACTCTTAAATATGGAAAATAGTGTTATATCAGATATACAAAAATGAAGAAGCGGGACATCCAGGGGCTAATCCTCCCTACCTGAAAACGTATTTAGGTATTACACACACACACAGTGTAGGGGATCCTGTGGCGCAGTAGGCTAAGAGGTCGCCTCACAAACGAGGATCATGGGGTTCGAACCCCGCAGTTAGACAACCGGCGGATGGAAACGTGGGGATCCAAGAGCTAAAAGCTGGGTCCTGCAGGCACAAATAGGTGAATACACACACCTATTTGTACCTGCAAGCTATGAACTGGTATTCAAATATTTACGTATGTAGGTTAGCTTAGCATTTTAAAACCACCGAATCACCTTCTGTGGTTGATTGTTCAATAAACCCTTGAACTATGTGTTTAGCACATCTCTAATCCTGTCCATGGAGGACAGAAGAAAATGTATATATGCTGGTTAGCATTGTAAATGTGTGGCCACGTCTGTGGTAGAAAATAATAATAAAAAAAAAACTCCTCTCGTCTTCTCCAGAAGCCTAACGACGCTACAACCCTCTAATGGTGTCCCTTCCTCCCCCTTCACCTCATAATGGACTGGCTCATTAGACAGCTCCACCCCCGACCAGTAGCAGAGTTTACGGCAGGCCACAACGTCCTCCTCACCCTCTATGGTAGTTCACTGCCAGACTAAACACTAATGTTATACATATTAGTATGTGCTTCCCGAATCGTCTCCAGTACGCTGTACGTCTGACTGATGTTGACTGAGCAGAGATGTCTTCGGGAACACCGGACCCCTGAAGGTCCCGGTGGAGCAGGGCTTTACAATACGGCGGCTTGGCTCCCCTGGAGGTCACGGGCTCACCATAGACCGTGCTACAGGGACACTTCCTTCTCAGTAGCTAAACCTAAAACAACAACAATCCCTTGAAGGTCTCAGGGTCTACTCTGCTCTACACGTCAACCATTCATTTATTCATTTAGTTATTTATATATATTCGAAGGCACATTGTACTGAGAAAGTACACACATTGGGGGTTTGAGTAACATTGTTGCAAGGCCACTAACATACATGTGTAAAGGAGGAAATGTAGATGTTTATCTCTCAGAATGTTTGGTAATATGTTTATTGTTTGTGATGTGTGTCTATGTATGTAATAACACGATGTACTGAACGGGGTGAGAATAGCTTGAGCTACCTCATCCCTTTGTGTGTATTTTACCTCAATAAACTTATTTCAATTTCACTAACACGCATAGTGTTTCCCGCAGGTCCTTAAGCTAAACAATAAGGTAACAGAATTTGGGTTCAACATAATAAGTACATTACAAGTTGATAGAATAGATTATATTGATCAAGCTATCATGCAACAGTTAATATTTCAAGTGGTAATATAGTGATTTAGGCTTCCTCAACACACAGCACAGAAACTGCAGTAAGAAAAACCAAACAGTAATCAATGCGCTACAATCTTCAATTCCAGTAATAATCATAAACCTGTTTGCTCGAAATAAAGCACTTGAAGTTTAAAGTCAATACGACGAAGTGTTCAAGAGATATTGAACACAAGTCAGTCACACGAAAGTAGGGAATAAGCAAAAACAAAAGAGAGGAAAGATGTAAGAACAACTCCTAAGATATTCCTACGCTAGATAATTCCGAGTGTGTAGTCATGATTGATTGATTGATGAAGATTAAGCCACCCAAAAGATGGTACGGGCATGAATAGCCCGTAAGTGGTGGCCCTTTTGAGCCATTACCAGTATCAAGAGCTGATACTGGAGATCTGTGGAGGTGCGACTGCACCCTGCGTGACGGGAGATGTCTCCCGTGTGTGTGTGGTCATATCAGGAGCAGCTTGACATAAGAACATAGAAAATAGCACTAGGTCTTACGGGCTATTCATGCCCGTGCCACCTCTTGGGTGGCTTAATCTTTATCAATCACCACCACAAGGCCTATTGGTCCACACGAAACGCTTCCCATCGGCTCATTCGAGACAGTTCCCATTGGCCCATACGAGGCAGATCTTATATCCATCCAAACTCATTCATATGCATGTCTAACCTACGCTTGAAACAACCCAGCGATCCCTCGTCTATTAATGTTATCCGGTAATTTGTTCCATAACTCAACCACCCTGTTTCCAGAGCAATACTTAGCCTGATCTGCCGTGAATGCGCTCCACGACCTGTGACAATAACATATCAACTATCTACTGGTGGCCGCCATGTTGATCAGGAGTATAATTGGAAGAAGTCACCTTAAAATAGGGATACGAACAAAGCCGTGTCAGCTAACCTATTGATGTTGTGACCTTTCTCACCAGTTGACGAGTGTCTCGAAAGGCCAATATTCCGGGAATAGCTTGATGGAGAGGGTAGCGCTCTCTGATATTGATGGGGTAGCGGTCATCAACAGGGATGGAGATGATAGTGGTCTCCAACACTGATGGAGAAAGTCCCGGTTTCCAAAACGGATGGAGAGGATAGCGGCATCAATATTGATAGAGTGGGGCAGCGGTCTTCAACAATGCTATAGTTACTGACCTCAATGTTGACTAGTGCTCTTCACGTGATGTAACCATATCAACATTTATGTATATCATTATATTATATATATTATATATATATATGGGCTTGATTTATATTATTTACGATACTCAACAAATCAGTGTGTATCCCAGTACCAATAACACGTAACTAATTGTTTAACACATAACACAGTTGTTTCTCTTAAAGGAATAATGTAAGTTAACACATTAATAAATGGCAGTGTGAAATAATGTTGGTATTATTATTATTATTATTATTATTATTATTATTATTATTATTATTATAAGAAATTGTTCATTGCGCGAATTCTGATTTTATCCGAAGGCCCCCAACAGGGACTGGAAGACGATGGCTTGTCAAAGATATAGGGAGCATGAAGCATGAATAATTGGCGTGTATTTTCCCCTGGTGAATAGTGATATGTAATGTGTCATTAATGCTCTTACGGTATATTGTACATTGACGGTGTGTGTGTAGAGCAGCCGCCAGGTCCCTGTAATGACTGGTGAGAGGACCACTCTGGCCGACCAGCCACTCTGGCCGACCAGCCACTCTGGCCGACCAGCCACACTGGCCGACCAGCCACTCTGGCCGACCAGCCACACTGGCCGACCAGCCACTCTGGCCGACCAGCCACACTGGCCGACCAGCCACACTGGCCGACCAGCCACACTGGCCGACCAGCCACTCTGGCCGACCAGCCACTCTAGCCGACCAACCACTCTAGCCGACCAGCCACTCTGGCCGACCAGCCACACTGGCCGACCAGCCACACTGGCCGACCAGCCACTCTGGCCGACCAGCCACACTGGCCGACCAGCCACACTGGCCGACCAGCCACACTGGCCGACCAGCCACACTGGCCGACCAACCACTCTGGCCGACCAGCCACTCTGGCCGACCAGCCACTCTGGCCGACCAGCCACACTGGCCGACCAACCACTCTGGCCGACCAGCCACACTGGCCGACCAGCCACTCTGGCCGACCAGCCACACTGGCCGACCAGCCACACTAGCCGACCAGCCACTCTGGCCGACCAGCCACACTGGCCGACCAGCCACTCTGGCCGACCAACCACTCTGGCCGACCAGCCACTCTGGCCGACCAGCCACACTGGCCGACCAGCCACTCTGGCCGACCAACCACTCCGAGCTCGAGTGAGTGACCTCGCCTCCTAGCATACTGGGAAGGCACTCTCTCTTGTTATGATGTCTGGCACTATTACTTCCCCGAACTACGACTCCTCCCCCTGAACAGTCTGCGTGTAATTACCTAAGTGTAGTTACAGGATGAGAGTTACGCTCGTGGTGTCCCGTCTTCCCAGTACTCTTTGTCATATAACGCTTTGTAACTACTGACGGTCTTGGCCTCCACCACCTTCTCACCTAACTTGTTCCACCTGACTGTTGAACAGTCAGGGTGTTGAACAATCTCTAGGGCGTTTACACACCTTAGACTCCTGGGGGAGCAGAAAACAAATGGAACGACCTTAATGGTAAATCAATAATAATGACTATAGTTCCATCCAAAGTTCAAAAAGCACATGAGACAGCAAACAATGGGAAGGTGGAAAGGCGGTGGGCCAAGAGCTAAAGCTCTGTCCTGAAAGCACTTTCAGGTAAATATTGGACATTTAACCTTGCTAATAACTCATTTCATAACATTATGAGTAAATTTATTGGTGAGTAAGATTGTGACACCTTTAAATAGTTCGCGTTCATGACGTGCACTTTAAGGCTTGGCTCGGTAACTTATTTAAATTTATGGTTGGAATTATAAATCCAGTGATGATTTGCAAGATCACATAGCCCTCACCACCACAGCTACCCTGGTGGTGGTGGTGGTGGAAGGACCCAGCCCTCACCACCACAGCTACCCTGGTGGTGGTGGTGGTGGTGGAGGGACCCAGCCATCACCACCACAACTGGGAAAACACTAAATTAGGTAAGGAAGCATCTGAACCAGCTGTGTCTGGGTACAAGTGACAGGATGAACAACCCAGCGGGTTTTCTTCCTATTGGGGAGTGTTGTACATGCTGCTATGGCGGTGTGTCCACTCACAAGATGAGTGGCGCTGCCCAATAACCTCGCCCCTCGGGGCAAAATTTAAAATTTAATCTGAAGGAGAGAGCAAAGTGACAATAGAGAGAAAGTTTCAAGCTGAAGCCTAGCTGCCCTTCCCGTTATCAGTTGGCTGGTTATTATAATGCTTCAATGCTATCACGTATCTTATCATATTTGCTTATGAAACTGCATATACAGTTAACATCAACTACACTCGGCTGCTAGTTCTTCCCAGATGTTTGTCTCTATGCTAAACTTTGTATTGATATGTCTGGATTTCTCATTTGTCACCAGTTGCCATCCATGTCTCTGCATTGGACTATGGCTCATTTTGAATAGTTAGTTATTGTGTGTGTGTGTACTCACCTAGTTGACCTTACTGGAGAATAGCTTTAGCAGAGCCTGAAAAGACAATTAAGCATTATTGAACACAAAACAAGAGCCTAATTAGAATGGTATTTTCACAGCTTGCCAGTAAAACAGTGTCCATGATAAGGGAAGGTGTGTGTGTGTGTGTGTATGGTAGAAACGGAACAAATACTGGCGATAACCTGGAAGGCTGGTCGCTATGGCGCCTCAAACGCCCACTATAAGACCCTTTGTATGACTAACCATCCTGTGTGATGGGGATTTTAGCATCCCGTAGCTAGTTTTTTTGACACACACTGTACTCCCCTTCGTATAGTCTAGGGCAGATGTTCCTAAATTTGTTAATAAATAAAAAATTTGTAAGGTAAAGAGACCTCTGGTGCAATTGTAGGGACCCATAGCCTCGGAAAAGAAAATAACGAGTACTCAGAGAAGACCTTGTGGATCCTCTCTCTCTCTCTCTCTCTCTCTCTCTCTCTCACACACACACACACACACACATATATATATATATATATATATATATATATATATATATATATATATATATATATATATATATATATATATATATATATATTATATATATATATATATATATATATATATATATATATATATATATATATATATATATATATATATATATATATAATATATATATATATATATATATATATATATATATATATATATATATATATATATATATATATATATATATATGTGTGTGTGTGTGTCTGTGTGTGTGTGTGTGTGTGTACCCTGTATATATATGGGAATAAATTAATTCAAATAATTGAAAACTTGTTTGATAAAGGCATCACTACTTAAAATAATTTCCTTAACACTTAAACTAACGCTAAATATTATTAAAGATGAATACTGAATATATAATTCTGAATATATAAAGTAAGTTAAGTGTTTTACTGAATACAGATCCATAGCAAATTCTTGCTATGGATCGACATTCCTCAGTCACTGTTCTCCAATATGATGTTTATAGAAATCAGATTACAAATATAGGCTCAGCTATTCGCATGTACTCACCTAATTGTGCTTGCGGGTGTTGAGTTGCCTTATTTTTGGTCCCGCCTCTCAACTGTCAATCAACTGGTGTACAGATTCCTGAACCTACTGGGCTCTATCATATCTACATTTGAAACTGTGTATGGAGTCAGCTTCCACCACATCACTTCCTAGTACATTCCATTTGTTAACTTCTCTGACACTGAAAAAGTTCTTGCTAATGTCTCTGTGGCTCATCTGGGTGCTCAGTTTCCACTTGTGTTCCCTTGTGCGTGTACTACCCGTGTTAAATTATGTCTTTATCTACACTGTCAATTACCCTAAGAGTTTTGTATGTGGTAATCATGTCTCGCCTAATTCTTCTGTCTTTCAGTGATGTGAGGTGCAGTTCACGCAGCCTTTTATCGTAACTCATACCTCGTAGTTCTGGAACTAGTCTAGTGGCATACCTTTGAACCTACAAATTCGTTTTATACTTGACAAGGTATGGATTCCATGCTGGAGCCGCATACTCCAGGATTGGTCTCACATACGTGGTATACAAAGTTCTAAGTGATTCCTTCCATAAATTTATAATGCAGTTCTGATGTTAACCAGTCTCGCATACGCCATTGATGATTATTGTGGATGATTGTGAGGAAACTACAATCTCATCACACATCCCAGACCTAAGTACGTCAGTGAACTATGAGGCCTAGGCTACGAGGACTGGCTAATTAACTCTCAACTCTCAAGATGAAAGAAGAGTAGAGTAGTACTACAGAAATTATACTGACGGGAATATACAAGATGGGTCAGAACAATCTTAATAAACTGATAGAAAATAGGACGAAAGGATATGGGTGGAAGGTGACAGGCAGCCCGTGCCTGAGAGTCCGAGGCAACGTGAGAAAACACACAGAGAGAGGATACCCTGCACCTCACCTCCTTCAACAACATCACAAGCAATATGTGTGGCTTTTGATGTCACAGTGGTGATGGCTGGGTCCCTCCACCACCACCACCACAGCAGGGTAGTTGTGGTAGTGATGGCTGGGTCCCTCCACCACCACCACCACAGCAGGGTAGTTGTGGTAGTGATGGCTGGGTCCCTCCACCACCACCACCACCAGCAGGGTAGTTGTGGTAGTGATGGCTGGGTCCCTCCACCACCACCACCACCAGCAGGGTAGTTGTGGTAGTGATGGCTGGGTCCCTCCACCACCACCACCACCAGCAGGGTAGTTGTGGTAGTGATGGCTGGGTCCCTCCACCACCACCACCACCAGCAGGGTAGTTGTGGTAGTGATGGCTGGGTCCCTCCACCACCACCACCACCAGCAGGGTAGTTGTGGTAGTGATGGCTGGGTCCCTCCACCACCACCACCACCAGCAGGGTAGTTGTGGTAGTGATGGCTGGGTCCCTCCACCACCACCACCACCAGCAGGGTAGTTGTGGTAGTGATGGCTGGGTCCCTCCACCACCACCACCACCAGCAGGGTAGTTGTGGTAGTGATGGCTGGGTCCCTCCACCACCACCAGGGTAGCTGTGGTGGTGGTGACTGGGTCCCTCCACCACCATCACCACCACTAGGGTAATTGTGGTGGTGATGGCTGGGTCCTCCACCACCAATACGTCAAATGTAAAAAGCACCAACTACCATAAAGAACAGTAGCGGAGCCTATAAAAACCTAGACCTCACTCCCAGTAGTCGATGACAGATAAGTACAGGTAAGGGAAGAAAAAACAATAACAAGTATACATACAGAAAACTCGCCCTACCGCCGCCTTGATATAAGAGTGCGAGTTTCTTGCTCAGGTCAACAGAGTATAACAAGGAGACAATGTTGTTAGAGACAAAGCACAGACAATTCCCATCCAGCTGTTAAGAAACACTTTTCCTTAAGCTGTGATACATAATATTTACATTAGGCTAATCACCATTTATGATAATTTCAGCCGAAATCCGTTACACTCACACATTAATGAGTTTCCCAGCTAATAGCTAACTTAACCAAACAGAACAAGTATATTGGTAGCGCTGGTCCGTGTAAAAGAACAGTGCGAGAGACAGTGGATGCCCACAAGTAACTGATGGTTGAGAGGCGGGACCAAAGAGCCAGAGCTCAACCCCCGCAAGCACAACTAGGTGAGTACAAGGACCACTGCCACCTGGACGCCCCCCCCCCCAAGTATTGACACACACGGCGTGTTTACAAGCCACTTCTTGGATGCACTGAACTAGGAAGTCGTCAAAGCCGGCACACAGCGCTCAGACACCCTGTGTTCTGCGAATACATCACTAACAACACTGAGAGCAGTAAACATGCCAAGGCAGTCAACACCACACATACCATCTCCACGAAGTGAGACTTTAATGAGCACAATACAAATGTTAATTCACTACTTGCAATCAATTAGCACACAACACTAGTTGTAATTTACAACTAAATTTCATTGGAGTGGATTTGTAATAGGTAATCTCTCCCCCACACCTTGGTGCCTATTGCCAGGTTGTCAAACCAGGATGGCAGGTACGGTGAATCCAGATCCTGCTCGCCTGGGACAACAACCGACCTTCCCCAGATTGCAAACCCACAACAGTCGCATAATTCCTGGGTACCTATTTACTGTTGGGTGAAGAGTGGCCTTGGATGTACGAAAACGTGCTTAAACATAGCGCTTTGCCCGGGAATCGAACCTGGGATCCTTTGGTTGTGAGCTGGCTGCACTAACCCCTGCGATCAGCCAGCCCTCCATAGACCCAAAAGTGATTACATGCACCCGCCAAACCCCAGCTGTTTATGAATGAAAAATGGTTTACACACGACTCACAACTGATGACGTTCGAACACTTCCGGAACAAGTGCTTCACTGACGACTTGTGTTCGCACAAGTTATGTGCGAACACAAGTTTCCACAATGCTATAAATGTTTCACCCATAAATACAAATAATCGCCAACAGAACCTAACCTATGCCTATATATGCACAATATGCTAATATGCAGACGATGAATCACAATAACGTGGCTGAAGTATGTTGACCAGACCACACATTAGAAGGTGAAGGGACGACGACGTTTCGGTCCGTCGACTTGAGAATGGTCCAGGACGGACCGAAACGTCGTCGTCGTCCCTTCACCTTCTAGTGTGTGGTCTGGTCAACATATGCTATTATAATATTAATTTATATTTGAGAAAATTCCCGTTTTGAATGAACAGCATGTAAAAATTTATGAATGCGTCTGTGGGGTCGACCGCTGGATGTAATGGACTTGAGTCGAGGACGGATTGCCTGCGATATAAATCATCCTTAACTGTGTTCTTAAGCACATTTCCTTGTAAACAGAATGTATACAATACCAGGAACACGTTGAATCGCATTAAGAATGCTGTATAAATATATCATTACATCCGAAACTAAATATTTAACAGGGTTATATACTACACATACACAAGTATATAACTCACAAGATACGTCAACATGTATGGTTCACGTGTCACGTGACGTCTGCAGGTGATGCAGCCCGTGGCGTCACCTATATACACTCACTACGTTATATATTTATACCGCAGTAATAAATCTTTTATAGATGTGTTTTATTACTCCTCGTGGACAAAAGTACCTGACTCAGGTAGGTGGCAAGTATGTGTCAGAGATGAGTCGTCATACACAGGTACAGAACGTAGTCTTATATACATGGCCATAAAACCACGACTCATTAATAATACTCATTGATGAGTACAAGTGCGTGAGTACAGCGTCTAGGGAAGATAAGAGGCTGAGACAAGTGTCATGCCCTTCAAGATTATCTGGACAAAAGAAGTGTATATATATATATATATATATATATATATATATATATATATATATATATATATATATATATATATATATATATATATATATAGTATATATAGAAGTGTTTGTAGAAAGCCTATTGGTCCATATTTCTTGATGCTTCTATATTGGAGCGGAGTCTTGAGGTGGGTAGAATATAGTTGTGCAATAATTGGCTGTT